GTATTTTCTTCACTCCTATTAAGATTATTTTTATCCTTTGTTTGGAATGGTTCTTTTTTTTTTTTTTTTTAAAGATTTATTTATTTATTTATACAAGCACTGGGTACAGTCAGAAGCGCGGGAGGGTGAGAGAATTCACCAGAGCCAGAGCGGGGAGCAGAGCAGGCAGAAGGACCGAAGCACACTGCTGAGGGGAGCAGCGGGCGGCAGGAGAGGTCTACGCGCCATGTGGGACCCTCCTCAGGTGGCCGGGGAGCAGCCAGGGATTGAACTGGCGCTGCAGAGGCTGCAGGCAGCTTAGCAACCCAGCTCAACCGCTGCGCCACCGGGGAGGCCCGGAATGGTTCTTTATTTGAGAAGACATAATAATTTTACTTTTATGGGGAGAGGGTATAGTTTATATGAGACTCATTACTCAACCTGCTCCCTTCTACTTTGAATAGTTGGCGCTTCCTGAAGACTCCGTAAGCCGATTTTCTCTCAATATGTACCAGAGTGTTCCTAAATACCCAGACCAATGGATTACACAATCCACTGAAGATATTATTAGATATGAATTCACATATCTATACATTTTTCAGAAAAAATATCTATAACCAGTAATAACATATTTTTCATTTTTAGAATTTTAATTTTATAAGTAGCATGTTCTGCAAAAGTGATAAAAATGGAGAGCAAATTAATTTAGAATATTAGAGAAATGAAATGACTGAAAATATGAATTAGGTTCACAATTTCTCACTTTAATAGGCATTTACAGGACGTTTTTCCTTTATTGCCCATGTAAATTAAGGAATAAGGGATGAAAACATAAAGAAAACTCAGTATTGCTTTTGCTAATGTAATTTTAATTAATTTCAGCTAATTCTGCTAAAGATATTTTTTATGAATTATGTTGTCTCCCAAAATAAGAAATAGTCTAACAAGTGGACCTCACTGTGCTTACTTTTCTCCTCTTACCTACTGATTGTCAGGACCAATGTTCAATTCCCCTAACAAATCCACCAAAACAAGCATTATGAAAAATTGATGTAAAGTGGAAGCATCTAATAACTGTTTCCCAGATAAAACAGCTGGTGTTAACATTAAACTTGCCCCTCCCCTAAATTACAAGACTTTTTCTTGACCAACTCCTTATCATATTTAATGAAGATATCATGTATATACACACCTCATTCAGATTAGAAATAAAACATATTTCCTTTCTCTATTGAAAGCATAGAACTGATGAGTTGTTAATACCATCCTAATCTTCATCTTGACATAAAAATCACAATTGTTGAAAATACACACACATAAGAGTTTTAAGAAATTAAGACTGTAAATGTATCTTATTTATAAAGAGTATTGAGACTTTGGGGAAATATAGTGCAATGAACCATTTAGAACAATATATATCAACAAATAACTAATTTTTAAGGTCACTTAACAATTTTAAGTTACTTAGCAACTAACTTAATAATTTTGCTTTAACTGTCTTAAATCAGAGAAAATGGACTGTATTTATTTGAAATTACATATACTTTTGAAATATTCATTAAAATGTAACTTAGGATGCTATTTTTATATTTGTATTAATCATGAAGGGCTGATAGGTTTATATCGCTGTCAATTAACTGAAAGTAAATATTGACTTCATGTGTTTTGATTTGCCAGACATAGAAATAAGAAAAACAGACATTGTGTTCCTTTAAATTCATCTTTTCAGTTTTTCTCTGAGTAAACATTCAGCCTCCTGAATCTTATTTGTACAGTATTTCATTTGAGAAGGTATCAAAGTCGCTAACCTTTGAGAAGACATTAGGACCAAAAATATAAGTGCTGAACTACTCACTCACTTAGAATAATAATTATTCCTGTCTTTTAAGGACCAATCTGATGGTCTGTTTTGAAATTCAATGGTGATAAAAAGGGCAACTGAAATATTGGATACATGTTAATACTACATGTTACAGTTCTATTTTTTTGATACAAAAAAGTTTTACTTAACTGATACTGTGATATGTGGAATAGCCTCTTACACTGAAAATACACAGCTTATTTTAAACAACTTCATTCAAAGTAGTTGGTCAAAAGTACAAGAAATAACAAAAATTCTGATGTTTAAGTTGCGCTTTTTGCTTTATTTGTTTGACATTTGCCAATATTGGAAGGTTCTCAAGATGAAATTCAGTATATATACCTGAGAAGGTAAATTTCATTTTTGGTAAACTTCTTTTTAATACGTAAATCTTATATGAGCAATTCTATAGGTTAGTGTATTTTTCTGTGTTTTTATTCTAAGCTTACTTTCTCCACAAATATTTTTCCTTTGTTTTATGTACATATGATCAATTTTGACATCCACTTTAAAATATTTCCTTTTTGGCTTTACTTTATATTTACAAAAAAATGCTCAGCTTTGGAAACCTTCTAAAACAATTTTCCCTACCCTACCACACACCCTAATAAATATGTTAAGACATCTATCACAAATCTGTGCTATTTCAAATTTGTTTCAAAACGATCCCATGAGTTGAAATTGTTACCTGAAATTAAGTTACCTGGATATGTGGATATGTGGCAAAGAACCACACACATTTATTTTGCATTAAACGACATACAATTTTTAAAACAGTAACTGATTCATTATTTAAATAGTTCTCATAGCATGTTTCATTTAGGAAGTGTCTTTGTATTTAACTCCTGGAGATATCTATCTATCTATCATCTATCTATCTATCTATCTATCTATCTATCTATCTATCTATCTATATTTATATAGATAGATATCTATATTTATATAGATATCTATCTATCTATATTTAGATAGATAGATAGATAGATATAACTCTATATATATATATAGTTCAGAGTCTAGAATGAAGACAATTGGACTAAATAAATTAGGGATAGCTGTCTTGGCAACACTGATGACCTCGAGAAGGAAAAAAAAAAAGTATAAAAGTGATTCCTAAAAAAATCTATGAATGAAGGATAGGTTGTAAAGACAAATAGATATATGTTGCTGCAGGATGACACTTAGAGAATAGTGATAAGCAGAAGATTTAAGTTTATAGGCTTTCTTTTTTTGATGTTTTTGGCAATGGCACCCCAGAAAATAAAAAATAAAAAGTAAAAATAAAGTTTATAATTGAGGTATGCATTAATGATGGTGTGTTTCCCAGTTATAAGGGAATGTTTGATATGGACAAATAAGAGAGTACAACGGGGATAAGGGAATGTAGCCCATGGGAAGTGACATGTCTGTCCTCTATGATCAACCATCATTCCTTGCTGTGTCAGAGATCTTCTGTCTAGTCCTACAAGAATATGCAAATGTCTTGAGTTATTTTCAGTCAGCATTTAGTGAATAAAATAGAAACAACTTTTTGCCTTTCAACAAAGGAAAATTTATCAGATAGGGAATTAAATACATTTATTAGGTATATGTGGTTTAATTCATTTGTACTTATTGTTAAGCAGTTGCTTGATTTCTCACTATTTTGGTGAATGGTTATTAGGGAGATAAATTTGTTCTTCTTTTCTTTTGAGATATTTTAATATTATCTATTTGAGAGTAAAAACAGCAAATCATTTAATGCAACAATTATGATTCCTGCTAAGCTATATCTTTACAACTTCCACTTGGAGTTGTTTTTTTTTTTTTTTTAATTTAAAGAACAGGTTTATTTGGAAGGGATAAAACAGTTAAAGACACTTGCATAGACACAAGTGGGCAGGAAGAGCCATCCCAGAAGGGACAGGATTGCTAAGAGAGGCCTGCATGGTTGCAGGCAGGTGGCCTTGGCAGGTCATGGGCAGGCAGGAAGGCTGCTTCCCTGCAGAGGGAGAGAGTTGGTGAAAAGGGACACCTGCATAGTCACAGGTGGGCAGTGGGAGTGCTTCCCATTTAGAGTTTTTTAAAAAAATAATTAACCATGTATGTTAGTAATAAACACCCACAAAATGTGTGTGTATATGTGTGTATATATATATATATATATATATATATATATATATATAACAAGAGCTTTAATGGGAATATATAAGTATCAGAAGATTGTAAAGTCTCCAGAAATTAACCTAACTAAAGAATCACATTTTAAAATAAAAAATCTCAGAATTTCTTTTAAATATTAATGTATACTTTGATTTTTGTACTCTCAGCCACCTTTCAAAATATATATGTAGGAATTTATGAATTTATGAGTTCAACTTAATATAGTATATTCACATACTTATTTTTAATGATGTGTATCTAAAAGTTATATAAGGTTTATATAATGCAATATTATTTCAATAAAAAAATGTAAAAATAGTGCATAAAGTTTTTCCACTCTAAATCTCAAAAACTTTCTAAGGTATTCTTTCTTCATTATTATGTATAATCCATTTGAAATATATATTTCCATATAAGCTAATTTAGAAATAAATATATTTCAATATTTGTATAGTTTAAAAATGTTTAATATTCGACTTGTTATAGTTTCATGAGAGCATACAATGTATATCTTGTGAATAAATATGACACATGACTTATTACAGATATTTAAATTTTATTATTGTAGGGTTTTCACAATAAATTGAATTAACATAAGATATTTAATACTTCTGAATAACACACTGAATAATAAATGAAAATTAAATTACCACTAGAATATGAAATCCAATTGATTTGTGTCAAAACATCAAAAATATTTATTTCAGAATTCATATATTTTTCATTGTATTATACTCATATGAATTATTTAATGAAGTACTACTTTGTTTAAGAACCAATTATTTGCAAATATAATGAATGCTATTTTTCCTTAGTCATGTCAATAATTTCTACTTATTTGCCTCAAGTTTATTACACTAAATTTAGTTAGGTTGTACCACTTTATATTTTTACTCAGTAAAATCATTGCTGTTTGTTAATTTCTGGAACATCATAATTAACCACCCTTAACTAATTCTGATTTAATGAGTTTACATATTGCTTTTCAGTATATGAAATAGGACCACTTATTTTTTTCTTACAATATAAATGGAATCATTGCTGATTTCCTATGCGTATAGGAATTGAATTTCTTCAGATAAAGCTTATGTTTCTTCTGTGCCCACAAAGACATCTGGATACTCATCAGAAGTGTGAAAATCCCAACTAGAAGAAAAAAAAGAAAGAATTATCTTCTGTTTTTCATTTTATGATGGATTTAGCAAGTTATATTAGAAAAATAAATACTATCATATATAGCTCTTAAAATACTTCTCAGATGTTGCATAGTTCTCTTAGTTGTCTTTATTCATATGCATTGCTAAACATCTATTTAATCAATGTTTATTTTAAAGTTGAGAAAACATAGAAAGTACATAGCAGACATCAAAATACATCTGTATTTTTATATCCCACAACTACAAAATACTCCCAAATATTTTTTCTTTATCAATTATAGTTTTCTGTATGCATATATTATACTTCTACACATACACATACAATCCACAATATTATGATTCAAAATTTATATTTAAGGGCAAAAATATATGTGAAATGGATATTTCACATGTCCCTTCTCATATATGGCATTCATTGCAGTTAAACTTCCACATTTAAACATCCAGCATTCAAGATTTTAAGCTTCCAAAGTAAACTTGTGCATCATTCCTGGTATATCAAGAGTATGAAGATTTTCTAAAGATAATCTGAGACTGATTAGACATCCTACATTCACCAAAGTAATTTATTTTTGTCTGTTTGCCTGCATTTTAACAAGAATTGGTTGACTAATCCTTCTAAAAGAGTCTTACCACACTTTGACATCATGATAATTTGTCACAATAGAAATGTGACAATGTAATGTGGTTAATGAATGCCAGTGAAGAGAATTGTTCTTGTCACTTTTGTTATCAGATATCTAATTTTAGATTAAGCAGCTCAGTCACTCAAAAAAAAAAATCTTTCTCCAATTAATGGTTTGTTTTTGTTTTTCTGTAAGACTTTCTACTCAACAATACTGTACCAGTCTCATTTAACAAACTGTTTACAGTTTCTAAAAAGCATTCAGTCTTTGCCCTCTGGCTCCAATGCTACATGATTTTAAACTCTTGCTTCTGAAGAGTAATGCCTTTTGCCATTAATCTGTTATTGAATCCACCACATTGCTTTGAAGTCAATTTCTGAGGTTCTGATCTGGGAAGAACTTTAGAATCATTTATAGACACAATGTCCCTTGGTAGATCACTTAGGCTACATTTCAGAATCTGATATGGCTAATAAAAACAAGTTAGGATGATAGGGTAGAAATGAGTTTTTATCTCACATTTACAACAAGATTTCACAGACTAAGGTTTTTAGTAAATTTCTTTATTTTCATTTCCTGCTACTCTGGATTTTTAAAATATGCTAACCTAATTTATGTATCACATGGTTTCACATCGTAACTGTTACATTGCTGTAGCTACATACACACTTTTCTTTTTAATTTGGAGAATAGGATTTCTGTAAAGACATGAAACGACTCTGAATCCAAAGGATACGATATATAGTGAAAATGCGTATGGTAATACTGACATTTCAATAGATTTAGACCTTGTTTGAAATAATAGTCTCCTAATCAGGAACTTCACATGTGACAGGAGTCCAAAGCTATGCTGTTCCTCCAAATCTTATTACAGCAGAAAAATTGGACCAATGTGTTACCCTTCATAGAAGGACTGTGAGTCTTCTAAGGTTCTGGAATTCTCACCCTGGATATGGTTTTGCACTATACTCTTAACAGATGTTTCATCAAATAGACTATTATTTTTGCCTGTTAAGTTTTATGTCTACCCTTTTCTGTTACTGTCTTCCTTCTTATACAGTGTTTTCCTATTTGCATCAATCAAAACACTATACATGTTACTATATTTGGTTCTAATGATTTTTAGATTTTGATTTCTTTTAAAGTTAAATGATTTCAATGTTTTATTGTCTTACAGATTACAGGTCAGTCCCCTAACCTGTAAACATAGTTAACTATGTTTCTTGATTGCCTAAAATGTGGATCCATCTTATATCTACATACAGTAACTGTTCTTAGTATTTGAGGAGCCTTTCCACTCTCATAACATTGCTATTATCAGCACTAGAAATAGGAATTTTTGTACTATTTTACAGTGTTTGGACTTGTTTACATAATTAAGTTTCTAAAGTCAGCCTTTCAGCCTTCTTTACCTCAGATAGTTTTACTAAGTTTCACTTTTTAAAACATCATTTGACAATATTCCTTCGGAGGTATTTTAATTTTTACTTTTTGACTAACTGCATTTATATAATAGAAGTATACATCTCCTAACTTTACCTGAAGACTTGAGATTATATCTGTTTCTAAGCACAGTACTTTCTTTCATCACCTTGTATATTTTATCATATTAAATACTTGTCAACTGTTTTAAAGGATTTTACAAGAACCCAATAAGTTTGTATATGTCCGTACTATCAATTATTCTTCCTAAGTTTCAAATGTCTCTAATAAAAAACATACTTCTAGATTAAATAAAAAAGAATTATGCACTCATGCCCCCAGCTTTCCCTCCACAGACACTCAGAAACACTTGGAGACACAACAGACACAGGTCTGTATGATGCAAGAGGAAGGTTCAAGTGAAGTGCATTACCACCTCTACTTTATAAAACAAAGCTTTGTTAACAAAGCCATTTGGACTATATTTTCTAACTTAGATTAAGTTACAATTACATAGAAATGCATTGTAAATGTTGTTCTTATGTATTTTATGAGTGCTAAAAAATAAAAGTTATAATAAAAATGAAAGCATAAAATCCATTTGCAAATACTATAAATTTTAGTATTACAGCAACATGTTCTCAGAAACTTGTTCTTCAAAATGTGCTTCAATTAAATATCACTAAGTGTTCTTACCAGGTAGTGTTTGTGTCATGACTGTGAAACTAATCCATGATCCAATCTGTAGCATTAAAACAGAAATTAACATTTAACTACAGTTAGTCAAGTAATTTGTTCACTTGTAAAATTAAGTAAATAACTTGTAAGTTTAAAATCCTGTGAAAAATTTTATGTAGAAATAATTTTCCTAAAAGTAATAATTTCATTTTCATCATAAGTTATCAACAATCCTATAAGGCATTATATTTACATAAAAACTGAATACATTAATCTAAAAACTTTTATAAAAATTAAAATTCTGATAAATATCACATTTTATATATAAATTGCAAAATTTTCTCTAAATTATACACAAATACACATTTTTTTCTGCCCAGAAAATTAAATTGTGGATGAAATGTTGCAATTTCTTACGCCTATAATTTGAATTATAATTTCTATTATAGTCTATATCTATGATTATACTTATATCTTCAGATAAAACATAATTGTGTCATTGCATATGTTAGCCTATAATACATATAAATACATAAATGTATGCATTTAGTATGTAATCAAGTTCAATTATTTCCTTAATAAGTAGCATACCTCATAAGTGTAATTTGGACATGAAACCAGAAAAAACATCCATGTGAAGGGGTTATAATTTGGACTTGGAAAACAGGCACTATTTCCTGTTAGAAAGGAGAATAAAAGATCAATGATGCTACGTATTGTTGATGTGATCATATACTTATTATATAATTCTAAATTCCCTAAAACAACCATACCACATGAAAAGTGACTATATAGTTATAGAAAACTGCTTCACAAGTTATTCTGAGAAGACCCATTTTCAAATGTTATGAACTTCTGATTCAAATAGAATACTTGTCATTTTCTGACTACATCTAAAGCTATGTTCTGTAAAATTACAGAATACACCGTGATCTTCAATTTTTAAGAGTTTAAAATAAACAATATATACACATTTTGCATATCTTAATAGTGGCAGCAGCATTGCATAATAAATAAATGTATTTTAGAATGTGTCTGTCTCTTCCTTTTCTTCTTTAATGTAAACTAAGATTAATACAATTGAGGTTATTAAATACTTCAAACCTCTCTGTATTAAATTAGTAAAAATCCAAAGGGAATTTTATAAGGATTTCATTTATACCAGAAAAGTATAATAATCTCTCATAAGAAGATTACAGTGAATATCAGTATAGTTCATATTAAAAAATGCCACATACATTATTTCTACTCAACAATAAAAAAATTATTTACATATCTCATTATATTTAGCATATTCTCACTTGATTTTTGTTAGTTTTTTTTTAGCCTTTGAATTTTTTTCAAGAAACTTTTTAGATAGCAGATTTAAAAGGTTATCATTATATTTTTGAATTATAAGAGTACTGCTTATTTGCCATAGCTGAATTTAATCAGATAATGTATCAACAAATCTTTTCATTATAATTGGAGTTATAATGGAATGTCAGTACGTTGTTTTCAAAATTGTAACTGTTGTTGAAATATCAAAGTGAAAAATACACTAGGTACTATGCATACTTCATGCACTGCTCATTTTACATTAAGGCTAAATATGTTTGACATTTAATATTACAGAGTCTCTTGGTAACATTTATGTAAACACCTTTGTATAATATCCATATATTCATGAAAATAAAAAAGAATAACTGAAACTTAACCATGTTACAGTCGTTGAATTCAGAATTTGAAGATTCATAGAGAATAATATGTGTTGAAGCCTCTATTTTATGTGATTCATCACCATGCCACCTCAAGTGGTAGTGGAAGGATCAGGGTCCACGGATACATATTTCTTCTAGATGTAGTTTATAGATAAATAACCAATTGAGTCTTCTCACCCAGAAAAGCATATTCATATAGACATTATTTCAAGGGTCAGTAGTTACTGTTAATTGTAATCATACATTAATTTAGGTGTTACTAATTTAATACCTACATTCCCCATGATATATTTTCTTAACATATTTTCACTGTAATATAGCTTCTAGCAAATAAAATTCTGAAGATTTTTTTTAAATTAAAATGCTAAGCCACAATGAATCTTCTTCAAGTATAAAAGCATCTATTCCTCAGCTTCAGGGAATAAAGTTGGGAGAGAAATTTGAATTTTTAATAATCCTATGAAGATTACCTGACTGAAAAGGAACAATCTTACTCAAGGTCATACTCATGTTTTTATTTAACCTTGATCCTATCTTTGATTTTATGATGATTTAACTCAGAACAAAGTTGTTCATTTAGGGTTTAGAATGTCCTACATATGGTCTCACCTGAGATTCTCTTTAAGAATGCATCACTTTCAATTTCCTACCTAAATTTGATTTCTTTATTCCCATCCATAAAATCACTACATAACAAACTTCCTGAATACTGATCTTATTTCAACATATAGAAAACTGAACCTGTAATAGTTTGAAATAAGATTAGCTTGAAAACAGACTATGCAGTGGGATTTTGGACTTAAATGACCTATTAAAGAGCCTACAATGAGTACCTCATTGTTGATGGCAGGTGCAGAAAAGATAGATGATGGTGGTTCAAGATTGCTGTGCAAGTGTCAAACCATTTACAGTGGTATACTGGTATATAAAATTGGTTCAAAGGAATGCTTTGTTCTGTTGAGTGGAATTAATCACTGTATATTATCAATGTTCTTGACAAATAAAGCTTAAAATGAAAATAATAGTTGACAATTAAAAGTCAACTGTGAAAGTTAGAGGATCTCTTTAGTAGCATACAAAGTGGCTATAATTTCCTGCATTGAAAAAGAGAGAGAGAGAAAGAGAGAGAGAGAGAGAGAGAGAGAAAGCTGAAGACAAAGTCTAAGACTTAATTGCAACAGTAGCTAAATTTCAAATATACAAAGCCAACTCAAATCAGATTTGCTAAATTGCTAAATCCAGGTTGGTGTCCATAAATCTTGGAATACATAGAATTTCAAGTACTTCATGAGTCTATAGATGTTGTCCATTCCTCCCTGTTTAAGTTAGTATACCCCTTTGCTAAAAGGTAATGCACAGAATACAATATTGCAAACAAATCCCCTCTAGGATTTTTTCCCTGTTGTCCTCTTATGTTAACTAGAGTTAAATACAAATATAAATAACCTGATGTTAGTCTGAGTCTGATAATGGTAGAAAATAAAAATGTCTTATTCCCCTAAAAAGGTTATAGGATCCAGATGACATTAACCACCAAATTATAGGAGAATACACATGTAATTAGATTGTCAGGGTGCTTGACAAGAAAGACAAAACACAAAATTGAAGGATAAGTTTATTATAACACTGGATATAGATAATTGAAATGACTTTTAAAGCGGTGAGGCCAGAGGTTTTTGTCTTAGAAAGTACTGCCAAGTCATATGTCCAAAAAAAGTGCTGATATCCAAAATCTACAAAGAGGATATGGATAATTGAAATGACTTTTAAAGCAGTGAGGCCAGAGGTTTTTGTCTTAGAAAGTACTGCCAAGTCATATGTCCAACAAAGTGCTGATATCCAAAATCTACAAAGACCTCATAAAACTTAATTAAAAATAACCAAAAATATTTAAAAATGGAAAGAGGACCTGAATAGACACTCTCCAAAAAAGACAAACATGGTCAATAGGCACATGAAAAAAAAAATGTTTATCATTCTTATTATTAGGGAAATACATATTAAAACAATAATGAGCTATCACATTACTCTTGTGAGAATGAATATGATTAAAAAGACAGTAAACAATAATTAGTGGAAAAGATGTGGAGAGAAGGGGTCACTTATACATTACTGGTACAGCCATTATGAGAAAGCAGTGTGGGGATTCCTAGAAAAATTGAAAATAGAATTCCATACAATTCAGCTATTCCAATTCAGCTATTTCATATCTGGAATTGCATTCCAGATACAATTCAAATATCCATATTTGGATATTTATCCAAAAATCACAAAAGTTCACGTTGAAGATATATACGTAGCCCATGTTTATTGCAGTACTATTTACAATACCCAAGCTATGAAAACAAACTAAGTGCCAAGGATGTTGAAAGAATAAAGATGTTACAACATTCTACACAATGGAAATCTACTCATCTCTTTAAAAATTTGAATTCCTGTCATTTGCAACAATGTGGATGGGACTACTGGAAATACACTTAGTACAATAAGCCAGGTAGAGAAAGACAAATATCATCTCATTTCATTCATGTGATATATCGAGGGAAAAAATGACAGATAAACTAAATAAAACAAAAATAAACTTAAGGACTATAAAAACAATTAGTGGTTACCAAAAGGGAAGGTGGACAAATCTTGGTGAAAGGGTCAGAGGTATGGTAAATGATAGATTTGGACATTTTAGCAGTGAACTTAATGTACCATATACACGTGTCCATTCTTAACAATGAATGTCTGAGCTTAGTAAGGTTATTATGCAACATTACTTCAATTTAAAAAATTATTTATACATAAGAACCTAGATGATAAATTTATACATGGAAAATTCTGATTAATATACAGTTGGCTACCAAAACAGGCCTGCAGATGAAAAAAGGAGAACATTTATGAGAGCTGGAAATTAATTATTACAAGTCAAAAAATTTGTTGTTGTTAGTGAAGTAAAATCCTAAATAATCTATATTCAAACACTTTCACTGAGAGGATATTTACATTAATGTCCCCACATTTTGCTAAAACCAAGAATTCATGAGCTTGAAAAGAGCAGAGATGCTCATCAAAGGGTATTTCATGTTTGGTTCTATTCAGTTTTATTCTTACATAGAACAACAGGAGTATTCAGTAGTCCTAAATCCCAAAGTCAGTTTAGAGAAGTATTATTCAAAAAGGGAATAGAGAGCAACATGGCGGCGAGGAGACGCTGCGAGTAAGATCTCCCATTAAAAAAAGTTAATAGGGAGGAAAAGCGGCAGGTCCCAGTGAGAAGTGGGACACGGAAGATAAACGGGTGACTCCAGCAAACTACCCGAAGAAGAAAGTGGCCATAAAAGAGGACTAGAAGGGAGGGAAGCGCAGAACCCTGCTCCCCTCCCCCGCCCACAGAGGTGGCACTCTCCCACCGGCAGAGAGGAGGAAAACAACAAACTAAAACGACCAACAAGAACAAACGACGCAGCAAGCGGGACTGTGAGTGGAAAGGAACTATGGCAGCCACCACATCCCGTGAACGGGAGCTGAGGCGAACCCTGCAGGATTCGCCGTGGCGGTGAGCGAACGGCTCCGGGCGCCATTAGAGAAGAACAAAGACCCCGGGAGATGCGCACACAGCCTGGGCTGCCGGTAAGCTTGCGCGGAAAGCGGTGCGCTCAGCGCGCTTGAAAAGCAAGTGCAGACTGGGATCAGAGCTGCCCAGGTCCCCGCGCCTGCGACCTAGGCTTGTGGGGAGACGACCTAGGCTTGTGGGGAGACGCGCGGAGGTCCTCACTGAGGTGACGGTCCCTCCCTGAGTAAGCAGGAACCAGGCACCCAGGCACGGGAGCAGTGCAAAAGGCGCCATTCCCGCGCCACTGAACTGGGCTACCGCCCGCGTCCTGGAACTGAGGGCTTTGAACTGAGACCCGGGGCACGAAAATTCGGGGCGTGGGTTCTCCACGACTGTGGGGCACAAGGCAGACACAGCACCCCAAAGCTGTTGAGGT